CCAGTACGTGGTGCAATCCGAAGAGATAATTTTACAGATCATCTCTCTTTGCAATCACTCAGTCATTCTTCTCGTACATAGTTCTGTGTGAAGATTACGGTAACGCATCGTACTTTGGACTTACAGGGAGGAACACTTTTCATGGAAGCATCAAATATCCTTGATTCTCATAGCATTTAGCACCTAGTACTACCTAATAGTAACAGTACTATAAACCCAGTTAGTACCGTATTTAGAAATGCACTGTTCTCGATTGTAAGGTGAAACGTGGTAGCATAAACTCACACAGTGGATTCCCTCAAGCTCTGCTGTGACACGACAGGATCGAAATCGTGCTCTTTCGCCGTTCATAATAATCGTATGTTTACAGTAGTACTAGTAGCTGGAGTAATAGCAGTAGTAGCTGTAAGTTTTACAAGATGAGAACAAAGGGCAGCATGCCGCTGTGGAAAACCATGACAGCCGAGGACACTGGTGATGATTAAGTGGAAGTGAGATTGAAGGCAATACCAGCCAACGCTACCAACGCGAAAATGTCGGCGTCCACATTTGGGGGCATTCCGGAAATGCACTGCGCGTGCTTTCATTAACAAAGTGACGAGGATCCCCCCACACACACATTGCCGTCATCGAGTCAATGACATTCACTAATCGAGTTCATGATTGACCAGAACACCGCGATAAATTCGAATATCTCCCCAAGCGAAGCCTATTTTCACCTTTGAACTGGGATTCATCCGTTATTGTATCATCGAAACACTGGGAACCGCTTCTGGAGTGCTGACTTGTCAGCTAAGTCTGAGCCACCTACCACCTCTCAGTTTATGCGAGTGCCCTGGGGGTATCGAGCTCCAGCGGAGCAGTGGAGATCGGAGTATTACAAAAAGATTACGATATTTTCAGGCTCTAAAGAAGGCGATTACACTACAACATCTACCGTATACTCAAACGTCGTAATTCAAGAGAACAAATCAATAATCAATAAACTTAAATTGACAGCTGAAGCCAAAGTATCTACACCCCTAGTTTTGACGTAACTGCGGACACCAAAATGTAGGGTTGANTTTTCGGCCCTAATGGGCACTAGTAGATCCTTGAAATATACAATTCAAGGAACAAAAAACAGAAACTTTTTAACAAACGTGAATTTGCATGTTACCTGGTCCATGTACGCATTTACTTGATCATATCTAGCATTGAAATCGATGAAAGAAATTGTTTTATTCATAGTAGCATGACAAATATCATGTCTGGTTTCAAGCTTCGTTTTTATTCACTATCAAAACTCAAGTCTGGTGATGAAGAGCTTGAGGTATTGGGTACGCCTCCAGCACTGCTTCTCAACCGTGCTCCTTCCTGATGTTGGTAAATGATTCCATCTGACGTGGTCGTCCAAATCCAGGAGGAAGACCTCTGAAAGACAATCTGAAGAATAGAAGAAAGTAGACCAATGTAATTTCGGTCTTTCAACCGGAAACAGCCACAGAACAGAATAGTTTGAAACTGACGGAAACTAGTGACTAAAATTATCAAATAGAATGGTAATATGTAAAATAAAATATTGAAGTGAACACTCCGATCAAATTCCCACGCTTGATTGGAGTATCACATACAATAAAGTTATGTTACAACCGAAAATAACCGCAAAAATTTGAAAACAAATGAAAAAATAAAAATGAAGCAGCAAGATGAAATGTACCTCATACTTGTGCGATTTATGAATGCCAGAAGCTTGATTTATCCGTGTGAGTGTGAGTGCACTAGCTGCCACTACAACACGACGGGGACAGGAATTATAATTTTCCGCTCAAACATTTATTTTGCGTAAACCCCGCCCACTGTGGGCGGAGCTCGATCCTGCTAACCACTACAAGTGCTTTCATACCGCCGCCGTACTCCTACCAAATGTGAACCCTCTAGGCCCTGTGGGACGGCATGCTGACAGACACACTTAGCGGATTATATAGAGGGATACTCGAGTTTTTCTCCCGGCAAGAATTCAACCAGGGCGGCAAACCAGCTTCATGACATCTTTATTATCAGTTCCCCACAGATCATAAAGTCCCTTGCAGCTAAAATAGCAGTACCAATGTGTGGGAATACAAATACCGAGCTGGCAGGTAAAGACATTTTTATACTTTAAAAAATTTTACGAAATTCCACCTCCCATGAGATTTGCCTCTGGCTATATTGACGCGCTCCAATGAGAAGGTCGCGACGCAGCAGCGGTAGATTATCCGCTGTTAACTCTTGTTAACTTGGCCTAACAGGTTTTTCTCTCCCGTTTATCTAATTTGTTTCGGAAGGGCCTGCTGTGTTAAGGAATTGTCACTTTTTTAGACCAGTTTGTTTCTATTGATCGTTCTACACCCCTACTTCAATTGAATCAAGAGTCATTGATAGTGAGTGGCTTCGCTTTCCTTTTTTACGGCCCTTGCGCTTACCTTCTATCGTGGGCGATATCCTTAGCATAAGGCTGTCCGGATTTGAAAGCTCCTAGTTACTATACCTCATTTATCTATCTTGCGAGTATATCCTGATGTAGTGGACGGAATCGTTCCTCTTCGACCTAAAGGGAAGTGGCATGAGATAGTGACATCGAGTGAGGATCTGTTAAGGATCTGTCGGATACAATTCATTCCGTAGAGGACTTCACACTCCCGCATAGCCCCATTTGAATAAGGGTGTGCTGAGTTACTTTTTACGAGACGTTAAATAGTAAAATCTCTTTTGTTCAAAGTCACTAGAATACTACTACAAAGCATTTGAAGTAATCGACGAATCTGAATCTTGATTTTTTACATCTCTTCTTTTCTTTAACGTATTCAACAATGCTATAGAGATAACCGTCGTAATCGATTCCTATTTATAGCATGGGTGATGATATCAACAGCGAAAGCACTAGTACCATTGGAGACGACTGGTAAGTTTCGCATAGTGTTTTCCAACTTTCGAAAATTCGACCGTGCTTTATGCATTTGAGTAAGAATTTACCTAGAAATAAGTAATCACTTTCCAATCCGAGTATTTTTTCTAAGGGTGAAAGAAAGTGATTTTTCAATTTCGTCATTGCCGACAGATTGTAATAAGGACATGGTATCAAGTTCGAGTCTTGTCTCGTTTGCGAGCGATCCGGAAAGTAAGAAATTGCTTTGGGTGGTTAGTTACTTTTCTAGTTTGAAGGACTTTTGATCTACTTGTTTTTAGTTTGTATAAATAGTCTACTAAATATTATTGTACCTAGCGTTTCCTTGGCGTAGTAAATCGACCAAATCCACTCGATGACTGGGATCAGCTCTACAACTTGAACAACCAAGCCGGCCTTAGAAATGGTATGTGTACTACAAACAAAGTATTTCATGAGCAATTATCATCTGCCTTTTTGTAATTGCTACCTTTTCCATATTTTCTTCGAGGATGTTTTTTTTTATTCGTTTCGCACCGGTTCTGTTTCATGTGAGCCTCGATAAAGGGCTATCCGAAGTCTTGCTGAATATTGACTATAGTGGCCCTGATCAGGCATTTTAGCATGGCTTTTTGGCTGGAACTTGCCGAGTTCCCATAGGTTTACTTCAGAAATAATTTGAGATTTTGCTGTTTAAGGGCTGCTTTGTCTTTATGCAAGTTTTTAACAACATCTCAGGAGCAGTCATTATGTGAACTGGGTATAGTCACTGTCACAGCGGACTCCGTTTTTTTTTTCAATTATCTTTCAATTTCCAAAAACAATTACTATGTCACCAGCTTGGGCGTTATAGTGCTCATTGATTATCCTCTTGACGTGTTCAATTAGTGGGCAGCATCGGCATTGATAATGGGTGATGGTGGCTAGGAGCGATAGCTCAATCTTGTGCTGAAGGGGACGAGACAGCCAGTTGATTTCACCTTACACATGTGCGACATAGCAACCTTACAGGCGTACTGTTCTGTAAATGCAGTTATGTATGACCTGTAATGCATTTTGCACTCTGCCGAAATGATTGAAACAACATGTCACTCTCGATAGCGTGACGTAGCAATGGTTTTATAGCGCCCTGGTGTGTCCATCAAATTATTCAATAACATTATAAAAAGTTTTCCGGCTCTTTTAATGAATTTTCCGACTGTTTACTAGAAGTGTACTCTAGAATGAAGGAAAATTACTGTTTTCATATACCGTTGTAGTCCCCATAGGTAGCCACAGATCCCTTTTGCAGATTGCCGAAAATTAGCGAAATTGTTGGACAACAAGAAATCTGTACCAGAGCTGGAATCTTTTATGACATTGTACTGTAAAAAGCGCAATGTTGACTACAAGAAAGACAGCGGATGGATAGTGGTAAGCATTTTTTGCTAGCCAGTGCGACATAGTAGTAATTTTTCATTTCGATTTTTCAGGTGTTAGAGAAAATTTTGAAGTTTGACTTACCTCAAGAACATCTTTTCAATGTGTTCTTTGCGTTCACAACTAAATACATTCCAAAGTGAGTGAGCCTTACCGTTCTTTTACTGAAATTCTTTATTTGATACATGAACATTTTTGGAAGTATTCAGAGAAACAAAGGAAAACGCTCAAATATACGATCTGTTTCGGCTACTGCTGCAGTATCATGACCCTGTCATAAGGTTTTCATTGCTTACTACATTTTTTGGTTATTATGGAAATAAATATCAAATCGTTCCTCCAGTTCTCACTTGGATTCCCTAAAATGTATGCCGTACTCGTATGCAAATCAGTGGTTTTCAACAGTTTTAGCGGCTTCTGTTGATGATGGTGTATGTAGGGTTTTGTGGGAACTCTACATTGAGAAGGTCAGTTTCTGTTCTGTCATTACCAACTTATTACTACTCCATAATTCGAACCCTGCCTAAAACATATTCATTTTAAGGGTGACCCTTTTTTAATTTTCTACATGGCTTTGGTTTTAATTATTAATAGCCGAGATGAATTACTTGGGATTGGATTTGATCGTCGGTAAGACTGAATTATAAGCGTCCCTTCTTTTACCACATAGAACCTGCCTGTTCTACAGAGATGATGCGCACAAAGTGCTTTCTTCATTACCAAATCAATTGACTATCGATGATGTACCAGATTTTGTTCAATTGTCTGCATATTACGCAGATCGCACTCCACAGTGCGTTCGTGAGGTTTGTCAGTAATTTTGTGACAAGTTTTTGTGGTACATGGATTACCTCATTCTCTTTATTATCAGGACTTTCATTATTTAATATTTGGTTCGAATTATGATGATGAAGTTGGTGAAATGCAAGTAAGTAAGCTACTATGCTTACCTGTAACGATCCAAGAACTTACGAGAAAAGAACGTAGCGCTGTAGCGGTGGGTGCTTCATTCATAAATAAATATGCTGCTGCGATGGAGCTATTTTTTTTCATCCAAGAGTATTCATCGGCTTGAATTATGACAGTCTAGCTATTCCACTAATTTCCTTCATTAAAGACCTCAAACATTACCTACTTCATTATTGATTGCCGCTCAAACGAGGCGTATAACAGTGGTCATATCTATGGCTCGTTCAATCTGGATTGCAAGCTGGTAAGTTGGGTTATCTTTTGTAGGGTGAATCATTACCCTTTTCAAGTGGCTCTCATGAAGATATTCCTTCTTACTTCATTACTAAGAATTGACGTTGACATTCCCTCGAAGTGGTGTGTGAACAGCTTTTTTTTTTGCAGTTGGTTGATGCTCCTAGTCAGTTTGAAATGGCTTTATCTTGCCTCGAATCGTACAAGCACGAGCAGAAGTTTGATGAACACATATGCTTCTTTGGTTATGGCGATGAAGACCAAGTAAGTTTCGAGTCTTTTCGGGGTTTCTGTCCCCCATATTTTGTTATATTTCTTCAACGTCGTTTTCAATTTTCGCTAAACAATGGTTTTAGCGTTTTAACGATAAAGACACGATTTAAGTGATATTTGTCATGATTGTGTGCATTTTAGGATCAGTTCATGAATATGGTGATTGCTCGATTTCTTCGCGATGGAAAGAGCCACGTTACCTTCGCTCAAGGTGGTTATCGAGGTATGTCTAATTGTAAGTTCACAAGCAGTAGTGCTGATCAAATAGGATTCGCAATTCGTCTTTTTTTAGGTCTACATAGTGTTCTGTCGGAGTCAAACCGTTTACGGCTTATCAACTCTCACGATGAATCCAAGTGTCGAGAATGCGGAAACGCGTCTTCGGGCAAGAGCTGGGTAGGTGATGAAATATTGTTATGTTCTGAAAACTCTTTGCCATCAAAACGCGGTACTTTTTTAGAAACTGGTAGGAAAGATGAAAGAAGTGGTAATTTCTAAGTCAGCTGCTGTGAAAGACAAGGTTAGCGAGTTGGTGACTCAAGCAGCTCCAGGAAGTGCTCCCACAAATGAGGTCAAACATGTGTTGTCGTCAGATCGCTATGGCAAAAGGTAATTTACTTCGTACGAGCTTTTACTCGCTATTTTAATTTGATAGCTTTGATTTCCGTTTTGTGGCCTAGGAAATGTGATTTTCTCCTCTGGTCACATTTTGCCGTCATGTCTGAATATGACCTGTTAATTATTGAGCTTCTCCCAACAGTGCCTTGCACAACACCTTTTTACAAAATATTTTTTCTTCTTCGACCTGCTAGGTTTACTCTACTGCCTGTCTGCGGCTACATTGAATTACATAGCGTAGGATGTACAAAAGTCGAGAATTAAACTGTCATCCATTTGTGAGATACTGTTTGCTAATACTTCCGATTCATTGATTTGTTCGGACAAGGAATAACACCTATAGATATCGAAACGAGCCGTCTGTGTTCTCAATCGATGACGACTCTAGCGACGAGAGCGGCGGCACACTGTTTAGCAAGTCAACAGGAAAAGAAGAGGTTTTTTATATAAGATTTTTTAGTTCAATTTGATTCCTCAAAGGTGGTGTTTTTACAGCTTCTTCTAACTGAGCAAGCTGAATTCATCGAACATTTTCAATGTCATGAATTAGCCGATAACAAAATGATGATTCCATCTCACATTGCCATAACACGTACCCATATGCATGTGCTGAGAGATGTGGAAGGAAAGGTATGCCTGTGCTAGATTCAAAGTGATTTTCTTTAAAATTCTTAAAAACTAATATTTGCTTTTTTTTCATTGTGTTCTTGTCCTCTCGGGGCATTAGCGTTTACTCTATGTACATCAAGCGTCGTCTTTGCACTCATTAAAATCTTGATGATATAATTTTGTAGCCTGGATACGTTACCACTGAGGCTCGGCATGCTCTCTCTTCAATACTTCGTGTCACTAGCAAAAAGAAGGTCCCAGAGCTGTTGACCTTCAAATTTGGCTACGAAATCAGTGGTGTTTCAAAGATTACTGCTGTGCATAGGTTGGTTTCTTTAGCTTCGCTTTCATTTTTATTTCTTCTTTAATTTTTATTGTCCATTCTTTTCGAGTTGTTGCGCTTTTTGTAAGTGAATATTTGCAACAAGGCAAAATGACCATTTCATGCAAAATCTGATCGCAGGTGAAAACAGGTGTGGGAGTTCGTGCAAGAGCAACATGGCGCGTCATATTTGCTGAATGAATTGTTTAGATGATGAAACGCATGATTCGTACGTCAAATTTGAATAATTAATAATTTAGTGGTTATTATCAACTTCCATTGAATAACTGCGTACTCAGTTTGATGCTTGAAGGCGACTGCTGAACGCTAGACGCGTGCATGCGCGCATCCATGAGAGTTTTGGGTACTATTTTCGTCACCAGTAAAAAGAAATAAAAAATAGCGAGTATGTGCCTTCGCTACTTGCGCATTGGGTTTGTAAGCTTATGTTTTTATTTTTTACTTTTGTAGCTTATATTTGCTGCGAGAGCACAGTATGTCTTGATATCGCTGAAAATACTGTCAACAGTTATCCCTGATGCATCTTTTTTTTACTTTATATTAGTAAGTGCAAATTACAGATTCCTTGTCCCGAAAGCCGGTGAATGCGCAAAAGCAGTGAAAACGGCCATTTTTGCTCTACGTCCACTATCAGACTCCGAGTCAGCTGAAGTCAGTTTTCCCGCAACTTGACTTCTTGACGTGTTTTGTTAATTTTTTTTCAAATATTTCAATCGCTACAGCCGCGACTTTTGGCTACTTGGTTCGGCCTCTTTGCCTGAAATGTATAAATTTATGAATGTATTCTGCGAACATTTTTTGTCGAACTGAAGTTGCACCTTTCCTTCGTTTTGTTATTAATCAGTTCATTTGCGCTCTGAGCATTGAATCATGCACTGTACTGCTAAGATTTCGAGATTTTTACGCTGAACAGAACTGGAAGTCTTTACTTCAAATGTGATTCATTCGATCATTAGTGATAAAAAAATTAATAGTCAAGTTAATCATTGTATGAATTGGAGAGGCTTATGACAGAGTATTATTCAACATTAGTCCTATAGATGTTATGAGATTTTTTTTCGCCACGTGTATCTCTTAATTTATTCGTTTTATTTATATGTAGATGTGCATGCCGATATTATTGCTTTAATCACTTCTTGTCGGGTAGTTGCAAAAGTGTTGTGAAGAATGTAATTTATAAAATGTTTATCGAATTGGCTCGAAGAATCGATTTTTCTATTATTGGGTTCAGGAATCCCATAATATGTGAATGTTTTGTCATTGTTGGTACAATTCAGTAGGATGATGACTAAACAACGGCGAGAAATCCGATAGGCACGCATAGAGGTGAAAACTGGTTTAGGCGGAGCTAAATCGCTACCATGCATTGATTCTCTTAAGATTTCTCTTTGGTCGGAGATTATGGCGTGTCATCTATGACATGCTTTGGTTTCAGAATGCTTTCGTTACATTTCACGCTTTCGTTACATTTCACCTTTAGTAGAGGTTCTTGTATTAAAATATAAAACTCAGGCATGCAAGTGAACACAGAAGATATCACAGTCAACTGGGGACAACAACCTCACCCACTTGATGCGCAATATGGAAAATGGCGTATGGCAGTATTTCAAGATGTGCAAGAGTCTATAGATATGAGCAAGCTTTACTTTCTCTACGATCCGATAGCTGATGAAGGAAGTGGAACCAGGTAGTTGCGATGCCTCAAATTTGTTCAACGTTACTTTGTTAGTTTACAGATTTATTCTTAAGTTTCTTGTGAAGGCCTCAAAGTTGTTCTGTAATGAGTAAAGCGTTCCCTCGGAAACTGGGGCAATTGCTGAAAAATCAGGCCAGGATAGGTGCAAATGCTCTTTTTGATCGCAACACTTTGCTTCCATTTGAAGAAAGGCATTTCCATTGAAAAAACTGTGCAAAAGTGGTCAATGGCTGAGCATTTCTTGGGAGGGATTTTGCTTTTTGCAAGACTTTGTTCAAGTTGAGTCCGCTTTTGCATGTTTTTCAACGGAAGTGACCTTCTGCTATGGAATGCAGTGCGCTGTGTTCCCGATGGTATGAGCAAAAGAACCAAAAGGCAGTGACATCATCGACCGCCGTAGTTCCATGATGTCACAGGGTCAACCTGGACTCTCCGAGGCCTTGGACTCAATTTAGTTTTTCGCAGTTCGATGGTCTGGGCGAGCTGTATGGTGGAGGGGTACTGCTTTTGTAATCAGAACGACATTACACCAATGTTGTGTTATTACCAAAACAAGATGCGATGAACAACAGCTCTGCGTTTCTAGATGAAGTTTTTGAAAAGAATTAGCATTATTGGTATTCATATGATACTTAAATCTCACATCACCGAGCAGAATGGCATTTCTAAACAGGGCTAAGTTTATTATATATGTGGGTACGGAAAAATTTTGTTTGTCGGGGCTGGGGTGTGTGATCTACGCTGTTTTAAAAGTTTATTTTTTTTTTGTTTTACGTTGGTTTTAAGCTGCTTGTTTCATATCTCATAGTGTACTCTATTTTCCAGTGGTACTCGTAAAGGATATCCCGGTCTCGTTATCTTTGACGTCAATTTCAAATGTTTTGCCGGAGAAATTCCATTGCATGCACAAGGTGAGTTATTGTGGTGGTTTTTTAAAATTGATTTTATTGAGTGTTTTATGCAATTGCCACAAAATACAGTAGATCATACCTTTTGTTCAGGTACAATGAAGTTCCTCTTTGCATTAAAATGCCCATCACCTCAGGGTGGTTCTGCCTTTGTGCTAGTGACTGAAGAGCAAATTTATGGAAAAATCCGTGTAAGATCATTTTGCCTTCTTTTACTTGGATATTTGCTCCTTTTCCTATTTTTTCGCCTTCTGTATGAATGAGATACTCACCTTAGTATTTCATTTTTCCAGCTTCATGTCTTCCGTCTTGATCTTTCTGGTGATGGCATATCTGTGTCAAACTGTCGTCCTCTTCTTGACAATCCACTAGAAATTGGCGGAGAGTACATATGTTCGATGCGTGAAGATGCTCCAGAAATTGTTGTCATGGCTAACCCAGGATTACAGGTTTGCAGCAGCTTTTTTTCAGAATCTGGTGGGTACATACCATTGTAGAGGAATGTAGGAATGAAGTTTCTTCAAGGATGGNTACAGATCTTTAACATCTTTCTCAGCCGGCCTTATAAATGGAACCACAGCGATGCTGGTCTTTTCATGTTTATACTCCTTTCCTCACGAGTTCACTTTCCTACTTTCAAGCTCGGTTTCTCCAACTTTTCGCAAGCCAAATCTCAGCCTCCCTAATAACCATCCCACGATTCGCCATACATAAAACATTGATTATGGCCTACAGGCTAAGACATTTGGTGAGTACATAATTTCAAGGTATGGCGCATCAACGCTATGGCCGAAGCCCCACAGCCTCCAACTGCGAACTTTACAGTACAAGGTGCCGATCTCACTCATTTCTATGATGGGTTTCTCAGCAATGGGTTGGTATTTTTGATCAGTGTGAGGCTGAAGTTCTCTGTCAAATCATTATCTTTTATCATTTCAAGGATTTTACCTTATCGGCATTTGTTTTACGAGTAATTCCTTGAATGAAGTCCTAATATGTTTTCAGTTCTGTACATCTGTTGTCTTCCTCACCCGATGGTCATTTGGATCACACTCGTATTCATGTGCTCAAATTGGAGAAGCCTGATATTGTATGCTTTAAACTTTTTTTTATTCATCGGAGTAATTATAGTCTTGAACTTGCAGATCACAACTCACCAGTGTACTCCAGATCCACAACGTGGAATGCCTGTGCCGAGGAAGAATTGTGGTATCGATGGAATAGCGAGTAGGTTTTAACACTTTTGCTGTTTTACTGGGAGGGCCAAAGATCAGTCCAGTTCATTGAAATAGTGTGTTGTCTTTAAGCTATTTCGAAACCCTAATTGATTCAAACTTTGTTCACTTGGCCTGATAGAGAGAGCTGTACGGAATAACTAGTAATAATTAAAATTGCCTCGGTTCCAAATTCAGCAGATACTCTGAAGAGTATAGGATAAAACGCGGTTCTGTCACAGTTTCATTCTTCAGATGCCATTTTGTTGGCTGGAGGAGAGATTGATCACGGCAATTACAATGTTCAACGTCTGGTCGATTACTGGATGCTAGATACCAGAACATTCCAATGGTTACAGATTCCAGCCCAAATGCCAGCTCCATTGATTGAGCCAAGACTCACTGCATGCAATTCAGGTTTGCTTTTTTTGATTGTTCTCATACTTTGAGATCTCAGGAAACCCTAGGTCACAGGAACCTGTTAGATCCTGAAAAAAAAAACTTGGAGAATGAAACTGTTGTAAGGGCAGAGATGCTGAACAATAACTGAATGCCGATATTATATCACTTTCGAATAGGAAATACATTTGAAGTCACTTTTTTGTGATGCTAAACTATCATCTCTATAAGTGGTATTCAGATAGTGTTAGCTTCATAGGAAAAGAATCAACCGAGTTAGTTTGTTGAGACCGAAGAGTTATCATCGAACACTAATTTACAAAGTGTTGAACCGTTCCTGATTTTAATTTCCCATTTTGTACTTCGTTTTTCTCCGGATTACCGCTTGCATCGTAAATAATTCTCAGGGAAGTCGCCTTTAAGAATATTTAATGCCAAGCGCCATCAAGGTTATCTGGATAAATAATTAATATGGGACGAGCCACTGATGATGTGATGAAAATTTCCGCTTCCGTAATATACATAACAGAAATTTTCGACCATTTCTTACTTCTATAATAGAATCTACTGTAAAGAACAGTTAATAGTAAAGTTTACATTCACGCAAGAATAGCTCGGTTGAATTTTGTCTGTCATTCCGTATAATCGGTAAGCGAAATGGATTCTGTAGAACTGTTCAGTGTCGACTGCTTCAAACATGTTCCCCACGCCGAATTTCATGAAGTTGCCAATAAGACCAATGATCTGTGGTCCCTAGCTTTTTTTCATATTTTGTTGTTATCTCTTTTAAACGTGCTGTACCTACTTGCCTCTACAGAGATCAGAGATGTAGTTACCAACAACTAGAGAAAATTCCCTCTGGGTAAGTGTAGAAATCCAGAAAATACACAAAGCTGTGAGGTGAAATTTAGAAAGAAAGGGGGAATGGGTACAGGAAGATGATCTCGATTGCCAAACAAACAGATCATAGCGCCTTAAAATTCTATCCATCACCATAAAAGGAGTAACCATCGGCTGAAATCCGGCTGCCAGACCCGATTCGATCCCAGTCGAAATAGAAAAAGAGGAGAAGGATTAAAGAACAGAATATGTAATGAAGTCGAATGTCAAGTTTTTTGACAAAATGTATAGAAAAAGTTTGTGAGATCCCATTAAATGTAATTGAGCAGAATGACAATGAAAAAGGCTTCAAAGAACCGAAAAGCTAACAGGCTGTTTGACATGTGTAATTAGGCCAAGCAAAACATATGCCATCATGACTCATCTCGATGGATAAATGAAGGAGATATCACGAGATAGATGAAGATAGTGATCCAAAAATTTGGCCTTCTCTTTTTCCGGTTAGGTATTTTCTTCATTTGGTTCTTCAACGTCTCACTTCAGGGGCATGATTATGGAGTGTCTTCATCTACGTTTCAGGAAGTTTAGAATATGAGTATCTGCTTATCAGTAGTGTAAGTAATATAGAGGAAGGCGCTCAAAATGCATAGGTACGGGTTCGGGTCTCGTCCGAGGCTGAAGTTGTGCCCACGACTGGTCAATCTTTTGGGGCTTTCGTATCGCGTGCTGCGAAATAATAACAGCTAGTAAAAAAATAAGTCAAAATAAGTGATAAATATCAATATCGATTGAGGTCAAGGAGGATTGCTTGAGGTATTTTGTGATCATAATAATGATAATAGAACATAAACGTTATTCTTCGTAGGCCGAACGAAATTTCAAGATTTTACTCTCTCCCTGATAATCATTAGTTTTCTAAAGACATTTGAAAGTTTTTTTTTTGGCTTAGCAAAGTTATCTGCCTTGGGTGACAAATCAACTACACTTTTCGGTTTTTTTTCAAGTTTGAAAAATTAGTCACCATCTATGATTGGGAAGGATTATAGTCAATGGTGTGATTCATACTTGTAATCCACATTCTTCTGATTGACCTTTATTTCAGGAAACATCTACCTGTGGGGCGACTTCGACCAGCCGCTGCCAGGCATGCCACCTGGTGGTACTCATCTACGTATTATGAGGGTATCCGGTATGGATAAAGCTGGTCATCCACCGTCATACAGTCAAACTGTCTCGCAACCACCGGTCTATCCTTCACTGCAGCCGTCTCCATACCCTCAACCTGGATCCGCTGCACCTCCATACCCTGCCTACAATCCTGCACAGACGAATCCAGGTTACGGTATGCCATCGCCTCAGAATCCTCCACAACCCGCTCCAGGATATGGTATGCCACAACCTCAGAATCAGCAATATGGGGGATATGGGGATGCGGGATACGGTGGAGGTTATGGGGGTCAGGGACAAGCAACTTCCGGTTTTCAACAAGTTCCAGCAGGGCCAAATCAAACAGCCTACTATCCACCTCAAAAGCCAAAAAAGGATTGTTCGCTTCAGTAACTCCACTTTCCTCGTCTTGCCTTCCTGATATGTACAAAAAAACCAACTTACTTATTCAAGCCTAATAATAATGCTGTCAAATACGCTATGATTGTGCTTGCTACCTATTGTGCTTGTCTTTGTAAATCTCAGTGTTTCCCATAATATTTTTATCTGTCTATATTACTTCGGTGTAATTTCACTCGTATTAGCCAAGGATTTTAAGCCAAGATTGGACGTGTTTCTGTCGGACTTGCTACCTTTCGAAAATTTTTTACTTTTGCTTAGCTTTCTGTATATTTTCGAATAAAGGGTTCATATTTTCACACTCTAGTTCAAGGAAACCTCACACACCTCATATATTGCTTTGAGGGAAAATGGGAAAGAAAATCGGAAGGGGAAGGGATTGAACCCAGAGCTACATAAGCTACGAGGTAGTGATATCCAACTAACCTAACTGGACGGTTTCGAACGGTAAAGTTTCATATCGTCTGTTATAGCCGTGCTGGACTCTATTCACGGGGTCACTTTGAGGACTACGTTAGTGTTTATACTTATCGTAGGACCAGGTAGATGGCAGTTGGAACAGCGCCAAGTTTTTTTCCTAGATCTGCTGTACAACTGAGACACTTAGTTGTTTCAGTGGTAGGAAGCCGTCTAGTTCCAGTTTTCAGTGCTCATGAGGTTTGTAAAGTGTTTCGAATCGAAGGACCCCACTGCAAAGGCAATCAACGGCTAAACCCTAAAATGTTCCACATGCAAAAATTTAAATTCATTTCGCTTCGTTGATTTTTCACTCGAAACGGGAATTATGCAATGCCAGAAGGCAACGGCATGTGAAGACAAGCTCTTCGTTGCTAGCTAAGCCTTTTGACCTTCCNAATATCGGTTGACAATTTGATATTCCTTTACCAGTACTTGTTTCCCCTAGTATTTCATAGGTCGGGTACCTGAGTAAATGATTAGTATCCTTAGGCTAGGTACCTGAGTATTTTGTAGCCAATTTAAAAATTGATGAATCTTTGCTTTGTAAAAAATGAGTAGTATTTTGCCAAATATATGCAATTATTTAAATGCCAACCTAGAAGTGTGCGCCTCATAATTCGAAAATGAAGTGCCCATAATTCCATTTTGTTGATTTTTGTTTATTAATTTGATTTTTCACGCGAAGCGCGCCAACTACGCAACTCATGAGGAAGTGGGCATACAAATAAGTCAGGCAAACAAACAGAAGTATAAAATAGAAAAAATTAACATTAGACCACGGAGTAAACAACAAGGCCAACAACAGCAAAAAACAAAACTTATAAACAATCAAAATAAAAAAAACTGAAAGTAAAGACACTTTAAAGTCAATTAGAAGTCAATTTTGTTTGTTGCTTAATGATGAAGAACTAGCAAAACTGAGGTAAGCCATGGGAAATGGTCAGATGGAATACAGGAAGTGCAGCGATAATCAAATTATAAAGTAATGAAATTTTATTGAGATATTTTTATTTCATTTTAGCTGGTTATTCGAAATAATTGTAATTTTGGAGTATGAAGAAGACATTGAGCACCGGGAGCTCATCACTGGAATTGGAGTTTTCTTATAGAAACGCGTCTGGAGGTACTCAGCGATAGTAACATTTCGAAGTGATCCGTATTAGGTCGGCAATCAGCCGACTGAAATATAATTGTCTTTTTCTGAGAAAAGGAAGTGTATGTTTAGTTTTATATTGGCCATAAAGTGCTGAGGTACCTGGTCGATGGATATAAATCACTTTGAAAAATAGGTAGCTACCCTGTAAGATAAATGTTTGAGGTTCTTAGGAAAATACGCCGTTAATTGGTTGCCAACCTACAATTTATTTATTTATTATTTATTTGAGTACACTCGCAAATGTGCACAGTCATGATTTTTATTTATTCATTTAATTAAAGAAAATGATAGAAAACATAACACATGAAAGCAACGGGAACGGTACAAGTGATAGTAAGCGATAATAATAAGTAGTAATTAATGATATGCAGTGCAGTAATGGCTTCTCAGTCTACTCTTTGCTCTGTGTACATTGTGTGAAGCTCCGAAGCGCTATTTCTATAACAATCAGTAGGTATCCTTTGAGACTAATTGCCTTCGCAACGGCATTGTCATGAGTGACAGCATTCGGAGTGCAAATTACTGGATTGTTTTCGTTGTGTGAATCCGAATGTCAACGATATCTGCGGAGTTAATCAAGTAGTAGTAGCTTTCCCTTCCACTTCCAGCTCCTACTTCTCATACTACTTTGCATACGAACGAAAATCGTGTCAATGGGGTGAATGTGAACAGCCAGCCAGCCGGATGTATGGTGCTGCCGCTGGCTTTCTATGTGTGACTAATTGCCCACATAATAAAAACTCGTCCAGTTCTAAGCTGGTCAACATCACCATGGTGGTTCTATACCGAATTTCGATAGTTTATTTTACTTTGATGTTCACTATTACGTATGCGACACCCCTCCCATTCCCGTTCTCACATTCAATTTGACCACGCCCTCATAAAACTCTCCCCTCTCTTTTTACTTATTGACTCACAGCGACTACCCACCCAGTGGGGGGCATATGGGGGGTTTCCAGCATTTTGTTATGCACGAAGCACATCAGTGATTGCTACGACTTTATGCCTCACCCCATACAATTACTTGGTAATTATATGTGGTACGAGTATTGTTTTTCGTGTGGTATTTTTGTTTAATAACTGTCTGTTCTGCCAGTATCACCTACGAACTGGGAAGTATCAAACACTATCACTGAATATTGACCATTATTGTGCTAATTAATCAAACGCAGAAGTAGTTGGGAATCGGGACCCATCATCCCTGATGGGATCCTGTGCCTCCATCAGGGCATATATATTCTTCCCGACTCTTAATAAAGGGCCCTGAAACCGTCAGATTAACCTTTTCGGGAGATTAAAGAGGAATTCGTTGACCTGAATCGGGGCCATATAAGGATATCAAGTCTGACTACAATTAGAGCAAATAAGTGATATTTGATGCTCTCAAATTGTATACAGACTTGATACCTAAACTTAATAAACGATGTTATATTAGTATACTTGTACTTCAGTGCAACTTAGATATTAGGTACTGGGCTCAAAGTGATGGAAGGTAAGGTCGGCCTGGGCGGGGTCAGGGGAGCAGCTTAGAGAGCCCACAACGCTCACAGACTTCTCACCACCTTCGGCCCACCTCTATCGCTCCTCTATCCCAGGAAATGCTTACTTAACATTATAACTCAGCATTACTTAAGTATTCTGATTTAAATAGTTGCATATCAATACCACCCGCTCTCTCTCTGACATCAAAATCACCATGTTTGCCAGAATTCGCTGATTTTAGGAGCTCAAAACTTGTTTTTCGATTCCCTTTGTTTGCGGTGCTTATACATATATACTCGTTTACTATTTCCTCAGAATAAATTACTGCTTACGCCCACATAGGGAGAATGTCGAAGATATTAGCATCGTTTAGACTACACAGAATCTTCATTTTCGAAAGATTCTCTAGGAAGGAATGTCTACACATCCGCCGTCAGAAGCTGCTCAAACCAAAGAAGATGAATACGACAAAAAAGATGTCGGAGCGGAAGAAGGAAAAGACGTCAAAGAAGAATTTAAGTGAGTTTGTATTGATCGAATTTATAGCTTTCTCACGTCCGAACGAAATTTTCAAGGATTAATTGTTCAACTAGTTATCTTCAGATCATGTATAAACGAAACTCTGTCCACTGTATGCCGTGTTGTCAGTTTGAAGAAAAAGAAAAACGATTCCGATGAACCTAATGACACATCAAAATAAATCATCCATTCTCCATAAATTACTTATACATTACTCTAGAAAGGATCATGCTCTGAAAAGCTTTTCGTCCGTTTGCCATTTGCCTAATCGTTCTGCCAGTTTCAAGGAATTTATGTGCAGTTCAAAGTATAATCTGACTCCAATTTCTGAATTCCCCGTGCATTTCTCGGACCTTTTTTCCCAGTCATTCTATCCGCTTAATCGTTTCCTTTCCGGATTTCGATCTCATTGCTTCGATTACTGCAATATTAGGGCTTTTAGTATTCGAGTAAATCGTAATTCATGTTTAATTTACTGATTTATCGTCCTAAATTTTCTTCATATACATGATTATCATATTGCATGTGACAAGTATACTATGGAAATGAATAAAAAATAAATTGAGATACAGTAGTCCAATCGAGAGCCCTTCACCGACAACCCCAAAGCATTTCGTGATGAATGAAATTTTATAGGAGCGAGGCAATGAAAAGCTTCTGCTCAGAGGGAAAAAGTGATGGAACCGACGTGGTGGTTGGCGTAGGTGGAGAACTTCAAAGCGTATAATTTCAGTAGTTCCTGTTCGATTTTCTAATTACATATTTGGACCAAATTACTAGTTTAGGAAAGATCAAAGTAATTGAAGTTAGCTATAAAATGAATGGGATCTTTCCGTGAAAGAAATGAATGAGACGAAAAACCCCATACATACGTGTGTAAGTGCAAACGCAGAAAAGGGCCAAAAACTGAAATACCAGAGCAATTAAGCGCTCCATTATCTCAAAAAAGCTAATTGCTTGGGATAAAAGATAGCAGTATTTTATTCAGTAAGGTTTTTCATCTTAAAGATTGACTGCCGTCCCTGTCGACACTGGAAAAAGCGATTACGACATGGCGAAGTGAGAGGGAGAAAGGAATGAAATCCGAAGACCGGAGTGCATTTCCTTCCTCTCCGGGATTTTGCCCTTTTCTTGTGAAAGAACCTGAGGGTGGGTGATGACTGGCTAACACTGAGTGTTTAGTTAGGATTAGAATAGATTTTTACAACTTTCTAGAAAGAAAATGTCCGAAGGTAGATGGAATTCGGGTGGTCCATGCTGGTCACATTTGTGGTACACACTACACGTACGGAGGTTTACCTGTTGAGTAGTAAGTTGATTCAATGAATATATCATGTCCCACGCAAGGTGCAAAGATCAAATCTTGGATCGATATACACCATTCATCCTTCCTGAGTTGGTTCTTCGGCACCTGACTCCTCTGGGAAGAAAGAAGCCTCGACTGATACATTAGTTGCCCACCGTATGTAGTCATGGTATGGGCCAAATAAACATCACTGTGGTTACGAGTGAAAGTCTAGTGCACAGCGCATCCCAAAGAACCAGATTGACGAAATGCTATATCCTTTTTTTTTGGCCTCGAGGTTAACCAAGTGGGTTTTACTCTTGCGTAATAACACTGGAAATTCATAAGTTAGAGGTTGATGCATAATTAATGTGGATTTTTTCGCGGCTTCTTTTCTCTCGATACGATATGAATACTGAATTTGGGATTCAATAAAAAATAATATTCTTATTTTTCTTAATAAAAATATACCTAGAAAGTCATCTTCATATGGGTCAAATTATGCCCTATTACTTCGAGAAAGGTTGGAGGGTGGCACAGTCATAAAGTGATCTCAACGAAGTTCTCGTCGATGGAACAATCAGCCAAAGGCGAATAAAGAATGGAATGTGTTCTACCGTCGCCCTATTCACCAACGAAAACTCCTTTAGATTATCAAGTAAATTGTCCGTTGAATAATTGGCTAACGACAGGACTTTCGACGAAATGGATGACCTGATGGCCGACGTCAAGGCGTTGCTCTCCTCCAAAAATCGAAACTTCTTCGCCTGCGAATCCGACTGCCTAGGAAATGGGAATCAGTGCTTGACGTAGATGGTGGATATGTTCCGGAGTACTTGAACATATTTTTGCTAAGTATTTCTATCGTTTCTTTAAGCAAATTCGCTGAAAAAAATCCGCAATAATTATGCACCAATTTGATAGTTTATGGAAGTAAAGACAGGCTAAGTTTTAGCAGCGCCAGTATTAAAACGATCCAATTTTCATTGATAACCATTAAGGTCTGGAACTTTACTCAAAAAGTTTCCTCGCCGGGTGAGTGATGGCCCAGCCGATTTGCCGGAAGGCAAGCTTTCTTCCCAGCTTGGTCTGACAATGTTTTGGCCAAGTTGTGACATCACAAAGCAGTCGCTTATGAGCCTGAACTCAAGAACAAGTCCAACTTATATAGATAACTTTAAGTTCGATAGTGGCCGATTATTACCGGGATCAAAAGACAGACAACAGCACTTCAACAATGAACGAGTAATAGTATGCACAACTGGGAAGTGAAAATTCCTGAAGNCATAGATCCTGTGCTTACAGGCCAGAGAATTTTGCTTTTGTCATGGATACATCGCCCTCGTCAGTGACTTAAAGGCTTTTTCAAAACCTCAAATTGAAACTCAAATGTTGCAGAGCTCAGGGATTAAAATTCGAAGCCAGACCTTTCCATTCATTGAGGCACATTAAATTCTCTGCTAGGGTACAAACGGTGGTCTCTTATCAAAAGAATCCTAAGACTTTCTCAGTGGATTTCCAAAAGCTTGTATCATATAATATCCGTAAAAATTTTAATCGTCTAAAGTTGTTTTTATTCCTTGGCTAGCCTTGCAATTTGCTTATTTTCAGGCTAAATTCTCTTTATCATCAATCCGGGATTTTAAATTTGATTATCCGCTCAACACGTATTTGTGTCAGTGTTTCGTTGATGGCTGTAAACAAGATCGGCCAGCATTTTCGCTTGCTTGCAATGCAACAGACTCGTTCTGAGAAAAGCGAGACTAACAATAAGGCTCCAAATTGGAACCCCAGACAAATTGTCCCAATAGTCGTCTGGGAAAATTTACCTGATAGTTCAAAAAAAGTTGAAGTAAACATTTAAATTGGAGACCGAAAGCCCGTTTTCAAAACGAACATCTAGTTTTGTCGAAAGGCTAACTATCCCACAACAAGCCCGGCTCATTTCCCTTCGGCCATGACGTTTCATAGTGAAATTCCGAATGAGGCGGAAATCGAATCATAATGTGGACTAATGGTGAAGCTTCTTCCCGCAGCTGGTTTGAGGGGAGACCACCAAAATCTCAACCCTTGGGAGATTCAGTTGTTCGATCGTGGGGTCTGTGAGGGGACAAAGAACTCCCAGCACCGTTAGCTACAGTAGCTGCCTACGAGGTGGCTTTTAAACGTTTTTTTCAATAGTGAAGACACGATGAAGTTTAACCTGTCTATCCTCCCTTTGAAATAACTTCTTCAACTGAATAACTAGTAAGATCATCTGGTTAAAAGTTGAAATACCGAATCAACCCTTTCGCGAAAAACTCTCTAACAACGGGGGTGCCACCCATTGTGAGAAACTGCGAGGATCATGGTAGTTCATTGGGTGCGTCCTGCATTTGCCCTTCCATCAGGGCCATAGCGTGAAAAAGTGATGAAAAATGAGGAAACCGACAATGAGGTTTGGTCAGTCCGAAAAACTCATTTTCTCCCTGAAACAGGCCAATCCTTCCAATAACTACATGCATATATAACCTCATTTGTCACAGTTACTTTGCTATTTCTATAATAGAAATCACCGAATCTTGTCGAGTTGGAGTTCTTAGCCAGAACAAAAAAATTGTAATAAAGAAACATTGCGTGTCCTACCCACCTCCTCGACTTCTTCTAGGACAATGCCAAAAGAGAGCAAATCGTTTATTCATGAGAGTCCATTGAGCTTCACAGCCCCCTGAGAGCCCGTTGGAAGGTGAAGTTCAATGATGACGTCATATTAACGATGGTTTTTCTTTTGCTTGAAGGGGAGGGGACATTTTCTGCACTGCATGTGGTCTGAAGCCTTTTCAAATCAGAGAGTTCTTTGAGCAGCAGGAAGCTATAAAAAAGCCTCAAGAGGAGCAAAAAGTTTGAACACAGAAACAGGTGGGTCGCACCCGCCTACGCAAAAAGGTCATTCCAAAGATGTAAAGAGTGATGGTCCCTTCCCTATTACACCTTCTCAGATGTTCAGGCAAACCATGAAAGTACAACGAGACAGTTTTAATTCGAGGGTCATCCCTAAATAACAGGAACCCATGTTAAGGGTCTTCATGAAAAACCTGCCAAGGTATAAAGGATCACCAAAAAATACTACAAAAACTCTTGAATGAGAAAAGGCACCAAGACGTGAACATGACTCGAAGCGGAGCCATGTATCAGGCTGCCGGAAAAAATTTTGCACATTTTCGTTTCCATGTTGTGAAACCTTTGGGGATGGCTTCGAAGCGTTCAATGCGGAACATGTGTATATGCAGGTCAATGCTATCATCACACAATATCTGCCATAGCATTTCACAACGAAAGATCGCTCACGACTCGAACAAATTAAGCGCTTCTGCTTTATAGGTTCAGAAGCAACTTCTGACGAAGGAGGTATGTGATGCGATGGGACGCTCCATTGTCTCTCACAGCACAACAAGAAATTGGTACCACAATTCAAAAATGGTCACTTCGACTAGACGGGAAAACCACGATCTGGGAGGCCAGGTGAGCTGAATGACGACACCTTCCGAAACTGGTTGTAGAGGATTCCAGGTGTGGTACCTACGAACTGAAACAGGAACTCAGTAGTGATCACAACGCAGCAGATGCCCATTTGCATAGCCTCGGAAAGACGGATACGGGGTATGGATATGTTGTGGCTGGGTGGTCACCACTTCCAAATGAGAAGAGATTCATGCCTGAACTTGACTTTCCGACGCACCATGGCTAGAAGGCTTATCCACCGGCGACGAAAAGTGTGTTCCTACGGAAATCACACGAGGAAGCGTCAGTGGCTTGGATGCATAGAGCACGGAATCCTGACCTCCAAACCAGAAATCCTACCTAAAAAGGCTATAATAAGCGTTTGAAGCCATTCGAAAAGACCGTACACTGAGACT